CATACCCTACTAAAACGCAGATAAAAACAAAAAATCGCATCTAAAATAGTACAGTAGAAGCCGTTCTTCCGGTTAAGCCTTAATGCTCTCCCTCTCCCCCACTTGAGAATTTCGAAAAATCCCTTCTTAGTGTGCGTTTTCATGACGAACCCTAACTGTGTACCAAATTTCTGCTCTTTAGGTTCAGCGGTTTGCTCTGGGCGATGATGAATCAGTGAGTCATTCAGTCAGTCAGTCAGGACAAGCAATTTTATATATATAGATATACAGGTAACCCCGTACAACACGGTAGTTACAAAATTTGCCGTGTTATGCGAATCCGTGTTATACGAAACAAAGAACTAGTACGAAAAGAAGGGTTACGTTCCAAAAATTAAAAAAACATGCTAGTATATTTTCATAATTAAGATAAATATCTTCATTAAAATTTTTTAAGTGATACATATTAATATAAATTAAACAATTTTTTTCTTCGTCATCACTAAAAACACTATTAATTAACCGAGAGCGTTTTCTTTTTGGCAAGTTATCCTTATCCTCTGAGCATTTTCCTGCATTAGCTTCAGATCCATGCTTTACCTTTTGCAAAATGTATGTAATTTTAGATTGCTTGCTTCTAGTTAAAAGGTCTTTATAAATTTCCTTATATGGTGCTAAGCACTTATGAAGAATAAAGCAAGTATGGAATAAGGGAAAAACATTCGGCAACATCAGAAGCAGAAGCGTCGCGATCTGGCAACATTGAAACAAGTTTCGAGAAGGACCACGTGTATCGACAGAAGGCGAGAAGAGAAAATTTACGTACTTAAGTACTAATAGTTCACGAAAATAATAATTTTCGTGAACTATTATTACTTAAGTATGTAAAAATTTATTTCATTTCCTGTTGTACGAAGGTTTTACCCAATTCTCGAACCGTGTCAGAGTAAATCCGTGCTATAAAAGTACCGTGTTATACGGGGGATGGTACCAATTCTCGAACCGTGTTAGAGTGAATCCGTGCTATAGAAGTGCCGTGTTATACGGGGGTTACCTGTATATAGATATAGATGTATTTACGTCGAATGAGCATAATAGTAATGCTGGAATAGAAAGAAAGGGGGAAAAAATTTAAATTGAAATATCATCTGCGCAATCCATCACTGTAATGGACTGTATCGCATTACGATTTAATGATTGTAGACATTCTTGTCATATTATCAGCATTCGCCGTGGTGAATGCTGATAATATGACAAGAATGTTTACAGTCATTAAAATATCTGCAATTTGATTTTCAAGTCATATAAACACGTAATAGCTATCTAAAAGATGCTCGTGACATGGTCATGCTGAAAGATAGCTTACCGCTAAGAGTATCAGAATTCAACTCCGATACAAATTCTTAACATTCGTTATGAAAACGTTATCCATAAATTTAAACACAATTTAATAATAAAAAATAATAATTTTCTGAATTATAGGATTCGTTACATCACTGTAAACATGGGCTAATTCTAAACCTTTTCAACATTTTCGAACACTTTCAACGAAATAAGAAAATATTTAATAGTTTTCATGCAATGTTCTAAATATTTTTTAAAATCGATTCGACTACTCTTAACCATTAGATAATGGCTCTGAAAAGAGCCGTTTTGTTGCTAGATTATAAAAATCTACCAGCTCCGTTGTCTGCTCTCCAACAGGATCACCATGAAACTATTCGATTTTATTGACTTTCCTTTCTTTCTGCCTTCTTTCTGCCTCGACTACGTCTTCTGCGAGATCTTCGCTTTCTGCTTCTCTGCTTAGATTTTTCTCTCTTTTTATCTCTTCCCTTGCTTCTCCTTCTGCTTCTTCCGACCCGTCTTCTCTTGGATTCCCCTCTTTTACTAGAACCTATGCGTTTACGTGTTACTCCACGCAGAACAGACTGTCTTTGCATTCTTTCCAAATAATTCTCGCCATTTGCAAATACGTTCTTTAAAATGTAGTCGAGTTTATTATCCAGACGACTCCTTGTAACTTTTGGTGGATTCTCATCCATTACAAGAGATTTTCGCCTTCGTTTGCTTCTTTTATTAATGGGAGAGTCGTTCGCCATGATCTTGAGAATTCTAGAAGCAAAATAACGGAATTCGAAATTATCGAACAATATTTGAAAACGATGTCGTTGTGTGATGTTCGAAATTTGAAAATCAAATTTAAATACGTTTGATAACTTCTATAATTTGAAAATTTAAAAATTATGAGTTTATAGGAACTTATTAAAATAAATCATATATTTGGCACTACAAATATTGCTAAATAAACTATTTTAATGGATTGAAATGCCTCTATTTAACATAAAATACACTTTTTTAATAAATTTTCTATTTTCTCTAATTTAAACTGTTCTTACATCTTAGTTTTTCCGCATAATTTTCAAGTAAATATATACGCAGTGCGTGTAACCTAAAAAAAACTGTTGAAATGAAGATGCACAATATTTTATATGAAGCGAAATGTTGTCAAGTATCAAAAAATGTCGACGTGGATAAAAGGTTTATAGTGACGTTGAAAATTAATATTTAAAAAGCAACGAATTAAATTAAAACGTTTTAGGCGGCGGTTTACGTCAGTCTAGTTAATTTTAAAATATTTCGGATTCTCTATCCGAAATAAATCTGAATTATTCGGTTCTCTACCGAATAATTCAGATTCGTCAACACGGCCGGATATTCATTACTGTTGTTTCAAATACAAACATTATTATGAAGCAGCAGGCACATTTCATATTGCTTATATTTGCGAATAATTAAAGATTTAAACAATATATTTGCTAGATTTATATGGAATTAATGCTCTTGTTATATTTTTACGTATAAATTTAATCATTTGAAATGAATTTGATCTTTAAAATGTTCAGTACCG